CATTCATATCTTAATATCTGAACGTGTAATAAACTTAAACACTGTCCTTTAATTCTTGTGTGTGGTTTCAGAGGATCTCCTTTTAGCTGTGATTCTTCTTTTTTATGCATAAATCTAAGGGAAGAATAATTCCCCTCTTTTTATTTTAATTTTTTATTTGTGCAATGGAGCAACTAGTGTGGCGGATGAGTCTGACAYCTAAACAAATTTGCCAAAAGTGCCCCTAGTTGTAAGAGTTTAATTAGTACATAAAGATGTTAAACTTGTGAAAAGTAATTGCTGAGCTGACTGACATCCAGGGTATCAAATAAAACTCAAATAGCTTATACCATTAAAGGAGCGGGTTTGTGTTTTTGTTAATAAATTATTTGAGACTCACTTCTGTTTTTTGGATCAGAACCTGGAATACTTCAGAAAATTTAACAAACCATAACTCCCAGGGAGAAAACAGTGTTGTGGTGGAGTTATTGGAAAGCAAAATAAAATCATAGATCATTCTAGAGAGTCGTGTGGCGCAGAGTGCTGTAAAAATGATTTATCATCTTTAAGACTTTATCATTGTTGTCCCCATTTTGCAGGTAGACTTTTTCTCCAATTGCTATCAGTTAAGAAGGAGAAGAAGCCAGTGGAGTCACTGAATAAGCTTATACTAGAAGCAACTTCCTGTGTTGTATATCACAATGGCCATTTAAAATCTCCTAAAAMGTTTGGAGCAGACAGTTTGAGCAGTGTTGCACAGCCAAGGACAAAGTGACCCTGACTCCGACAGGCCGACAGACAGAGGATGACAGAGAATAGTGATGGGATCCGAATGTGGAATTAAAAGGAAGGTCAAAGGTTTATATGCTGCAAGGGCCAAACATCTTAAAATAAAGGAAGAGCATTAGCCAAGGCTGTTGCAATACTCTGATGAATACTTTTAATACCCAGGGGATAAATATCCTGCACTGACTGCATGTTATGTTTGCTTCAAGCTTTTTTGGTTTCTTGACAAGAATCATTTTTTTTTCAAGTAACAACAAATTTTTTGCCTTCTTTTTAAATTATTATTTTTAAGTGAAACAAATAATTACACAATTCTGTCAATTATGTTTGCAAACACAAAGTAGTCCAAACATAAATGGTCAGACTGTATTCTTATGTCATTTTTCAAGAACATTAAAACATAAAAAAGGTTTTCACAGAGGAAATTTGGTGGTATAATTATACTTTTAGCAGTCGTTTTAAACTAATAAAGCATATTGACTGTCATGCTGACTGTTGTACACTCATAATCGCCAGTTTGTTTCTGTGTGTGGGTGTGATCCCTCTGAGGGAACGAATTGAGGTGTCATCACACAACAGTGGGCCTGAGTTTGCATTCTTAGATTACACGGTCAGAACAAAATCTTTGGTTTGTGGTAGAAAATGATTGAATATTACTTTTATTATGTCTGCATTCAGATCTTTTATTTTCCCAGTAGATAAAAAGGTCTTGTGTGCACATCCAGCCACACCAAACGTTGGGCTGGTTTGGGTTATCCTGGGCCATCCTTCTGTAGACTCAGACTTCAGCTCAAACACTGACTACATATACTAACTTCACTCCTTTTGGAATTATTGCTGTCATTTACCTTGTGTTCTCTGCCCCAAGTGGAGGAGTTTAAGTATCTAAGGGTCTTGTTAACGAAGGAGGGAAGAATGGAGAAGGTGATCAACAGGCGGATTGGTGTTGCGTCTGCAGTGATGCGGTCGCTGTACCGGTCTGTCGTGGTGAAATTCTTGATTTACCGGTCGGTCTACATTCCTACCCTCATCTATGGTCACGAACTTTGGGTAGTGAACGAAAGAATGAGATCGCAGAAACAAGCGGCCAAAATGGGTTTCCTTCGCAGGGTTTCTGGGCTCTCCCTTAGAGATAGGGTGAGAAGCTCAGTCTTCCAGGAGGGACTCCAAGTAGAGCCGCTGCTCCTCCACGTCAAGAGGAGCCAGTTGAGGTGGCTCGGGCATCTTGTTAAGATGCCTCCTGGACGCCTCCCTGGTGAGGTGTTCAGGGCATGTCCCACTGGGAAGAGGCCCAGAGGAAGACCCAGGACACGCTGGAGGGACTATGTTTCTTGCCTGGCCTGGGAACGCCTAGGGATTCCTCCGGATGAGCTGGCCCAAGTGGCTGGAGAGAAGGAAGTCTGGGTTTCTCTGCTTAGGCTGCTGCCCCCACGACCCGACCCCGGATAAGCAGAAGAAAACAGAAAAACGGACGAATGGTTTATTGGGTTTTGCTATGTTTTACAGCGGGTAAAATAAGTATTGAACACGTCACCATTTTTCTCAGTAAATACTGTTTATTACTAGAGGTGATAATGACATGAATTTTTCACCAGATGTCGGTAACAACCCAAGTGATCCATACATACAAAGAAATCAAACCATAAATGGCCAGAAATGAAGTTATTTGTAATAATGTGGAATGGCACAGGGAAAAAGTATTGAACACATGAAGAAAGGGATGTGTAAAAAGGCATGGAAAGCCAAGACACCAGCTGAACGCTCTCAGTAATTAGAAAGCAAGCCTGCCCCTTAGTGCAAGTTAATATCAGCTGGCTCAGTCCCAAATGATGGCCAGGTATCACACAAGAACCATCTGATGATGGATAAAAGTAAAGAGCTCTCTCAAGACCTTCACAACCATATTGTTGCAAAGCATAATGATGGCATCGGTTACAGAAGAATTTCTCCATAAACTGACCAC